CTACTCCTTTGGACCATGCTCTCAGACCTTCTACAGCAGTGGTAGAGACAACTGTCCTTTCTTCTGTGATGGGCTGGCTAGCAGTGATCTGGCCCAGGGGTTTTGAAAGGGCAAAAGATGATTGGAGGACTTGGAATTCTCTTTCCACACCTATCAGGCCCCAGAGATTCACCCCCCCCTGTGTCCCGATTGGCCCCTTGGGTCACCTGGAGGGGGATAAAAGGGGCAGGATGGGCTGACTCAGGTCAGAGACCAGTGAGGGACAAGAAGGAAGGAGCTTCACAGAGCTGGCAAGAGCTGAGCCAGCGAGGCAGGAGCAGTGCCCCAGAAGAGCCTGAAAGAGCAGGACCTGCAGGCAGCAGTGGGACCCTCAGCAGCACGGTGTGCGGCCGGCAGGAGAGGCTCCCCGCTGGGCTCCAGGATCCCCTATGAGAGTCTGCAGCCAGCAGGAGAGGCTCCCCAGCTCCAGCAAGGATCTGAGCAGCGACCTGAGAGGTTCCCAGCTCTGCTTCCAGCTCCTGGCGAGAGGCCAGGCACTCAAGTGAGGCTGGGGCTCCGGAAAGGTCAAGACCCCTACCAGGGTGGAGCAGTGCCACTAGTAGTGGCTGTGTGGCAGTGTTCCTGCCTACGATGTGGGTTTAAGTCTCAGCTGAGGTGACTTTGGGTGAGTGAGCTAACAAGAAGCAAATCTTCTTGCAGTGGAAAGGGGCCATTGTGTTTTCCTCCCTTTCTCCCCCTACAGGTACCAAGGCCCTATATTTCCTTGTCATTTGACATTTTGTGCCTTTTTATATTTCACCAACCCATATTGTTTGTTCTGCTGTTTGTGGTTTACATTTTGTTAACCCTGTTTTTTGTCAATGATTGTAAGTGTCTAACCTTTGTTGAATCCTGCCCCCTTGGGGCATTGTAGTGTCTACTGTACCCTCTGATTTATGCCTGTTATGTTCCCAGTATTAAAAGGTATATGGTTAAGTCCCCATTGGTGGTCTGGCTCTGCTCTATATGGGGAGGAGAGTCCCTACACCTCCCACAGCGCTTGTGCACCTGCTTTGATCCCTTCCATTGGAGAGGGGGTACTGTGAGGGAGTGAAGAGGCGTGCGGGCTCCGAGGCTTCCCACCCCGGTGCAATCACGCTAAGCTCCCTCACTCAAGCCCAGAACGCGGGGCAACAACTCACCTTTTGCAGGTGCGAGGAAGGAGGCGTGGCCCAGACGGCGGGGGCCAACATAAGTGCGACGCCGATGCCAGGAGTGGGGGAGGTGGAACTGGAAGTGAGCCAGGAGGCAGCCGGGAACCAAGGAAGCACCTACAGGCGGAGGGGTAACGCCTGGAGACACTGCCGAACCTGGTGGGGTAAGGGTAAGCCCCAACAGGGCTGGGGAGCCGGGTCGATGGGCCCCAGCCAAGCCCTGGATGTTTGAACGCTGCAGGGCACGGCCGGACCCAGCAGGAGCCGGGAGCTGTATATACTGTAGTATAGGGGCACTTAATGGAGATGAAGAGGCTGGCCGGTCCTTTGGAGGACTAAGAGGCTTTTGGAAGCCCTGGAGAGGGCTGAAGAGCCCAGAGAGAGGGCTGTAGAGAAGAGTGCCGAGACACACAACAGTTAGGGTAATAACAAGGGGCCAAAAGGGGCAAAGCAGCCCCTTGCTCTAGAGAATCCCTGGCGGTGACGTTTGTGTTGACCGGACATTTTCTTTTGTGGACATTGAACGACCTACTGATGGGGCACTTACCCTGATCAGCAACCTAGCCAGTGGTACAGGCGAGGGTGTAGGGGTGGTGGAGCCCTCATTGACGGGGGACCCTGAGAGTCCAGGAGTCTCACTTTTGGACTGACGCGTTCAGATTAATATCACTGAACCAGAATACGATCAAAGTCATGGCAGGCAGACCGGACACATACAGACCTCAGGTGATTGACTCTAAGCAACAGGAAGCCCGTTCGGACACAGGAGGAGGTGGGTACTGTGAAGGACGCACCCCCACCCCCACACACGTACCTTTTGGAGTACCGCCCGGGTTACACTTCCATTTATGCATACTCTACTCATTCAGTTCAATGACAGATTTAAAGCAACCTCCAATTTTATATGCTTTGTTGCACATATAAACAGCAAACATCACTAAAACAAATTGCATTAGCCATGATTTGCCACATTTATCTGAGGAGAAACTTTAGGGACCAGATCTTCCTGTGTGGGCAAAGGAGGTAGTGTTTATATCAGGGATAGCAGACAAACATTTTGATGCTGAGATATTTTTCCTTGGGCCAATTACATTGATTTTATAGCCAGGCTACCTCCCCGGCGTGGCATAAAAAGGTCCTGGACATGTGTATTGTGTACTAACAGTTGAGGAGCTACTGAACTTTTCTAATGCCACATGACTAATATTCTTTGGAAACACTGCACATATTGTCAATGGTATTTGTTACTCTGTAAACTGATACAAAATTCCACAGCTCCTTTGCAGGAGAGCCAGGATTCATTAAATAACATTAGCTATCATGCAATTCACTGCCTTCAAAAACATATAGCTAATTTCCGTGCTGTACATTTGTTTAACTGCATGCATTTGCATGTAGAAAGGGGAGGATTGGAGCCTGAGCTGGGAACCAGGGCTGCCTCCTCCGAATACTCTGGACATGTAGGGAGCTACATGGCTGTCCATCACAGCTGGACTTCGCTTTAGTCACTTGGAGAAAAAGCAAAACTATGAGAGGCAGCCAAGTAGCCTGAAGACTTGTACTGAGCAAGTGCTTGCTGTTTTAGTTTGCGCTTCTGCCCTGTCTTAAAAGAGCCAGCTACTCTTAGTTGTTTCATAGTTTCATAGTTTCTAGGGTCAGAAGGGACCTGAGCAGATCATCTAGTCCGACCACCTGCCATGGCAGGAAGAGCACTGGGGTGAAATGACCCCAATAAGGTGGTCATCCAACCTCCTCTTAAAAACCCCCAGGGTGGGAGCCTGC